AAAGACAAGATGTTATATAATAATTGTTTAATGAAAAAACAATTTTGCCACAAGCAACCAAAAGATGTGCCTCAGACAAGAATCGAACCTGGGTTCTCCAGGTCCCAGTCTTTAATGTTAACCATTCGGCTAACATAGGATCTCTGGGCTAGACAGGTTTGCACGCAGTCTTATACCTGAGCGTCCAAGTCGCTGGCAGAGCTAAAGCGGACTTAGCCTGCCACCTTGTGGCGATAAGATGTACTATTTTTCACGCAGCTGCGTGATTCCCGAGAAGCGTGAATGAAGACGACAAAACGGAATGGGACCTACTGTATCCTTTGAAATAGTGAAGCCAAACAATGTGAATGAATTTGATGAAAGAACTATAACAAATAATTAGGGCTATCATACTACAAAAAAAATTGAATTGAGTTAATTACAGCTTCAACATTTATTAATCGTAATTAATTGCATTTCAAACTATCGGCAAAATTATGCCATATGTAGCGCGAGCGGTGGGCGAACTATAAAGTGGTAAATTTAAAACCAACAACGCCACCCAGGTCTAGGACCTGGGAAATATAATTAACTTAAATAGAGCACACAGGTAAGTTTTAAGGAGGAGGGAGAGACAGTCTCATTCAATGGTGCAAAAGTTTTATTTTGAATTCACAATCAAAAGCTGCGTCCTAGTCGATAAAAATCACACGCGCACGAGCAAACACACCACACGCACACCATCAAGTACCGTATACACACACAACACGCACACCATCAGACACCGTATACACACACAATCACACGCACTACACACACTATACACGCTAAAGAAATTCACCAGATGGGTGGGTTTCACACCTCTTTCTCTTTCACTGGACACTCCTGTCTCACGGCAAGGTGGTGGCTGGTTGGCCTTTAAAAATGCAAATTAAGTTCATGCAAACATTAGCAGACCAATAATTGCTTCAGTGAAGGAAAAACATTTGTAGCCTACAGTAATTCAATTTGGAGAGACGAGAAAACAAGAAGCTTTTGAGTATTTTATTGGGAGGAGGTTTGGCGCCCTAGGCCCCGGTGCGGCCTTCAGATCGGAGAGGCTCCTGCGATGAAGCGCGCCAATCCCCCGGGACCTAGGTACTGGTGGCGGCATTTGGCAGCGGGAAGCAGATTGAAGGCAGATTGGAGGCAGGGTGAAGAGGAGGAGGAGGGGAGGCGGTGGTTGCAAGGCTTTGGGAGGCCGTGAAGTGGGAGTTTCTCCGCTTTTAAGCGGCTGCCTGGCCGGTACGGGTGATTGGAAGGGGGCGTTTGCTGTGCGATAGGCTGGGGATGTGAACCGGCCTGGAGGGGGTAACTTTGGCTGACGTCTACCAAATTGAATTTCCGCGGGCTGCATTTCAATTTGGAGAGACGAGAAAACAAGAAGCTTTTGAGTATTTTATTGGGAGGAGGTTTGGCGCCCTAGGCCCCGGTGCGGCCTTCAGATCGGAGAGGCTCCTGCGATGAAGCGCGCCAATCCCCCGGGACCTAGGCACTGGTGGCGGCATTTGGCAGCGGGAAGCAGATTGAAGGCAGATTGGAGGCAGGGTGAAGAGGAGGAGGAGGGGAGGCGGTGGTTGCAAGGCTTCGGGAGGCCGTGAAGTGGGAGTTTCTCCGCTTTTAAGCGGCTGCCTGGCCGGTACGGGTGATTGGAAGGGGGCGTTTGCTGTGCGATAGGCTGGGGATGTGAACCGGCCTGGAGGGGGTAACTTTGGCTGACGTCTACCAAATTGAATTTCCGCGGGCTGCATTTCAATTTGGAGAGACGAGAAAACAAGAAGCTTTTGAGTATTTTATTGGAAGGAGGTTTGGCGCCCTAGGCCCCGGTGCGGCCTTCAGATCGGAGAGGCTCCTGCGATGGAGCGCGCCAATCCCCAAAAAGGCTGTGAGTTGATGGAGTTTTGCAGCCTGGTTTGGAGGGGACAGAACACTGAGAGTAGCAAGATGGCTGCGTAGACGTCTCGCTTAAACGCCACTATCTGATTTATCCTTTAAAGTAAAAAGCCAATGATGCCAGACCCAAATACGAAGTTGGGTGAAGTTAAGATAATGTCTAAATCTTCTAAAAAGGAGCAAAAAAGGGAGCAAGGAAAGCCAAGAACGAGAACCACGCGCGCTACAGCTCACCTGGATGCAATGGATAATCAGGAGGAAGAGCGTGATTCCAGCAGCACAGAGCACCCAACAGTCGCAAACGCCGAAGGAAGCACCTTTAACAAAACTATCTTTGACATGCTCCAAAAGATGTCGGTGGATTTGGGAGAGTTAAAGGCCATAAAAGAAATGACCGCATCTGTGGAAGGAAAACTCACCTCACTTGTGACTCGCATGACTGAAGTCGAGGAGCGGGTGAGTGGAATTGAGGACACGCTCGCAAAACAGAAGGAAAACCCCCCGGTAACGAGAGCTGAGTGGCGTGAGCTGCGTGACCAAATGACAATGATGGAGGACAGATCTAGACGAAATAATTTAAGATTCGTCGGGTTCAGTGAAGGAACCGAGAAGAACGACGTAGCCGGGCTCCTGACCCGGTTTATTTCAACAACCCTCGGGATTACATCTGCCGCACCGCAAGGACTCGAAATCGAGCGCGCTCACCGGACTCCAACACGGAGATCAGCATCCAGCGAGAGACCGATGCTATGCTATGAATCAAACTTTGCTGTAATGGGCCAACATACTGTTTAGCTGTTTAGCAAAATAAGTGAAATAATGTAGGTTAGGCCTAAGTCTATATTTTTCACAAAGACTATATATTCTTTGTTCTTTATTATATTATAAATATTATTGTTCTCTTAAGAGAACAATAATAGATTCGTATAGCTCCTTTCATCTTAAGCATAGAAATTCTACTTTCATGATCTTTCATCTTGGTTTTTTATTATTTATCGTTTTTGTTTTTAATTTTGTTGCTTTTTGTTTATTTTGTTTTTTGTTTTCTATTTTCAAGTTTTTGGACGTCCATTTTTGTCTTCCCATGTCCAATATACATTTGAAGTGAAACCTTTTTTAGTTTGTTTAATAAATGCATGGGAAAAATAAGAACCAAGTATTATTACTTAAAAAGGGAAACCCTTGTGTATGTGCGTTAATTTTTTTTTTTTTTTTTTGTTCCCTTGCGTTTTGTTTTGGTTTTTGTGTTTTGTGTTTTGTTTTTATTCTTCTCTCAGCATAGTGGTGTTTGAGACTCTCGGCGAAACCATCAGACTATCGAGTCTGAGCGTTTTTATTTTATTTTTACTTTTTTCTTATTTTTATTCTTGTCAATGCATTATGCATCCTTCCTATTTTTCTCTTTTTTCATTTATGTTTTTTCCTACTTCACTACCTGCAGTGTGTTCGTATGTGTGTGATTGTGTGTGCATATGTGTGAGAGTGAACTTGTGTATGTTTTCATGGTCATGTGGCTGTGTGTCTGTGTGTTTGGGCCCCTCACTTTATGACCATGCACCCTCTCTCTTTATTCATGTCTCTGAAATACTACATGTATAGTTGTGATAGCGAAGGCTCTTCTGAAACTGAGGATGAAGATCTGAACATAAACTTGGAGCCTATTAGTTTTTCTGACCATATGAATTATAGATCACAAAGCTTTATGCATGAAATTGATCCTGATAAAAATATCCTTCAAAATACTAACACTGATTGTCTATATTATACAAACATCACATTTGAGAAAAGATTCATGCAAGAAAAAAGTATATCTCTTGTACATTTTAATAGCAGGAGTTTATACGCAAATTTTGAAGGCATCCAGGACTCCTTGAACCAATTTAAGTCACCTTTTAATATAATTGGTATTTCGGAGACGTGGATAAGAGAGAATAGTGAGAGTGACTTTGAATTAGAGGGTTATGAAATGTTCTGTACAAACCGGCAACACAAGAGAGGAGGGGGAGTGGCTCTATACGTGGACAAAAACATGAACTGTTCTATTGTAAATGATTTGTGTTTAGCGATAGATGACCTTTTTGAGTGTGTCACGATAGATCTAGCAATTCCAAACAAGAAAAACATTATTGTAAGCTGCGTTTACAGGACACCAGGATCCGACTTGAAACTATTTAGGGAATGGATGGAAAAGATATTTAATAATAGAAACAAACAATTTATCATATGCGGAGACTTTAACATTAACCTTTTAAATTCTAATAAACATGTACATACAGAGGAATTTATTGACACCATGTTTTCTTTGGGCTTGTTCCCACTTATCAGCAGACCCACGAGAATCACATCTCATAGTGCCACTCTTATAGACAATATATTCTGCAACATTTTAGACGACAAGTTAACTGGAGGTGTGTTAGTGAATGATGTGAGTGATCATTTACCGGTCTTCATGATGTATGATGTCAACAGCAATATTTCCAAACCAGTAAAAAGGGTCTTTTTTCAACGAGTTACAACAGAACAATCCTTTTTAGCATTAAAGCATGATCTAGCGAGGCAAAACTGGGATCCTATTTTTTCAATGTTTGATGTAAATGGAGCTTACAATTTGTTTCTTGACATTTTCCTCACACTTTATGATAAGCACTGTCCAATCAAAAAGTGCACAAGAAAGCACACAAAAACTCCATGGTTAACAAGAGGCCTTGTAAACGCTTGCAAAAAGAAAAATTACTTGTATAGGCAATTTCTTAGGTATCAAACGACAGAAACTGAACAAAAATACAAAACATATAAAAATAAATTAACTAGCATGATGAGAACCAGCAGAAACAAAAATATTATATAGATTTACTTATCAAAAAGAAAAATGACATTAAAGGAATTTGGAATGTATTGAATAGCGTTATTGGTCGTGGCTCTAACAGCCTGTGTTATCCTGAGTTTTTTTTTGAAAATGACATGATTGTTTGAGACAAAAAGAAGATTGCAAATGGTTTTAATAATTTCTTTGTTAATATAGGGCCTGAGTTGGCAGGAAAAATCCCAGAAAACAATGATCAGCTAAGAGAACTCATTGAAACAAATTCACATTCGATGTTTATCGCCCCCACAGACGAGAAGGAAGTCCTCAATGTCATTAGGAACTGTAAAAATAAAACATCTGGTGATATTAATGATCTCGACATGAGGACTGTCCGAAATGTAGCAGAGGAAATTGCTAAACCGTTCACACATATCTGCAACTTATCTTTTCAGCTGGGAGAATTTCCCTCACAAATGAAACTCGCAAAAGTCATACCAATTTTTAAAGCTGGAGACAAACACCACTTTACAAACTATCGGCCTGTTTCCCTTCTGCCACAGTTTTCTAAAATATTAGAAAAAGTATTTGACACTAGACTTCGCTGCTTTATTGAAAACCACAATTTACTGTCCAATAGTCAATATGGATTTAGACAAAACAGATCCACTTCACTAGCACTAATTGATTTAATTGAAGAAATTACTAATGTTATTGAGAAAAATAAATTTGTTTTAGGGATTTTCATTGACCTTCAAAAAGCGTTCGATACAATTGACCACCATATTTTGATACACAAATTTGAGAGCTATGGCATAAGGGGACAGCCTAAACAATGGTTAGAGAGTTATTTAAGTGAGAGAAGGCAGCTGGTACAGATTGACCAACACAAATCTGGATTTAAGAACATAACGTGTGGAGTACCTCAAGGATCAATACTTGGACCCACTTTATTCATAATGTACATAAATGATATATGTACAATATCAAACTTAATGAAATTCATTCTCTTTGCCGATGACACAAATATCATATGTGCAGGTGATGATCTGGAGCAGCTCTTGGCCGTTGTAACTGCTGAAATGAACAAACTAAAGACCTGGTTTAATACAAACAAGTTGTCATTAAATATAAAAAAAACCAAGATTATGCTTTTTAGCAATCGCAGATGTAATATTCCTGTCAAGATTGTCATTGACGATACAGAAATGGAAAAAGTTCACCAAAATACATTTTTAGGAGTTGTAATAGATGATAAAATATCCTGGAAACCCCACATAAATTTCATCAGGTCAAAAGTTGCTAAATGTGTTGGAATGATGAGGAGAGCAAGTCATTTACTCAACACCAATGCTCTTCTATTATTGTATCGTTCTTTCATCATGTCATATTTACATTACTGTGTTGAAGTGTGGGGAAACTGCTACAAATCCCACTTACAGCCTCTGATCACGCTGCAGAAAAAGGCCATAAGGATTGTCTCTAATGTTCACTACAAGCATCATACTCACCCACTGTTCATAGAGTTGGAAGAATTTAAATTACAAGATTTGATTCACTTTAGAACTGCTCAGATTATGTTCAGGGCATCAAAAAACTCTCTGCCTCCAAATGTTCAGAATTTATTTCGTGACAGAGACGCGCATCATAGTCATAGACTAAGAGGAAATAAAAAATGTATACTTGCCTAAATTTAGGACCACTTTAAAGTCAATGTGTGTCTCAGTGCGAGGAGTTTCTCTATGGAATACCTTAAAGGATGAACTTAAAAATAGTACAAATCTGACTCAATTTAAAGCTTTGTTTAAAAAAGATGTACTAAAGAAATACAAGGAGGAAAGAGAGTGATGCCCTCAGCACAGAGCGAGTGATGGCAGAGAGGGGTGGGGTCAGAGTGTCCGGGCCTGTGTGTGTGTGTGTGTGTGTGTGTGTGTGTGAATGTGCGTGTATGTGCGTGTATGCGCATGGGTTGTTTTTTGTTGTTTTTTTTCTATATATATATATATATATATATATATATATACATTTTTTGTTGTATACCATTGGTGGTAGTATCGTATTGAAATTCTTGGCAAAATGTACAGTAGTATTCTTGTATACCATTGGTGGTAGTGTTGTATTGACAATAGTACTTTGTGATGTGATTTTTGGATTATTTTGACGGGTGTTGTGTGGGTGAGAGGGTTGGGCTAAAATAAGCATAGTGCTTCATCCAACCCCTTTTCAAACCTTGAACATGTGTCTGAACATTTGTCAAATGTGTCTTCTGTGCAGGTTTTGAAATAAAAAGAAATAAATTCATAAATAAATTCAAATTCAAGTAAGATTAAAATTTTGAGCTGCAAATAACACTCAATTATTGCATCTAATCAGTTTAGATTTATCCCCAATGATGGCACCACGCACACACACACACACACAACAAAAACAAAAGCACACACACACACACGCACGCGCACACACACACACGAAAGCTGTTGTGGGGATAATCTGACTGATGTTCTGAACGCAGAGAGGGTGAACTGATTCTAATTCAAGAAAGTGACACATTTAGATACAGTAGGCTAAATACTGTATTTAAATTTAGCGGCAGAGTGGGATAACATTATTTGTTTTGTTTAATAATGAAGAAAAGAAAACATGATGCATTATTTTTGTCCCTTAAACTAACTTGTCATTTCATGTTTTCAAGAGTAAAATCATTTCTTAAGTAGAAAAAACATGGATTAACATGTATAAAGGATAGAAATGTATCTTAGCCTGCAATTCCCCACTTCTGATAATAAACATAAAAATAATTCATAATTGTTTCAATATTGAAAGAACAACAGGTCCGTCTTTGACGACGAAAGAGAAAACTAATATGAAAAGAATGTCTCATTTAAGCACATTACTCAATACTTTTGGAAGCAGTGTGTAAGATTTGTATCCACAACTATAACTTTATTTGTTAGTAGATTTTAATTTCCAAAGTGCATTATGCATTAATCAT